CCCCATCTTTCTCGTCTCCCCCTCCCCCTCTCGCTCGCTCTTTCTCAAACCTCAGTTTCCCTCCCCAAACTCTCTCTCTTTCTCTAGACGCTCTACTTCCCTCTCTATCGCTGCTCTCTCTATCAGTCTTTTTTTTAGTTCTATTTTTTTCATTCAAACTTACTTTTCATTCTTTAATGATTCTCATAACTTTTACGTCTTCTGACACACACTAATACACGCACACATACACACCACACACACACAAACACACACACACACACACACAAACAAGCACACATATATACACAAACACTCACAAAGAAACACACATACATACACAAACTCACACGCATGCACAGACCAGAATAAAATACCTAAGCATATAAAAGGAGAGAGGCGCTCGAGTCAAGAGATAAGGCAGTTCACGGGTTCTTCTGTGACGTCATAGAAACTTGGGCTGTTTTTACACCGTCTTTCACGTGATCAATTTGTGCAACAGAAGCCGTGCCCGCGTGTTGCCCAAGTGACCCACTAATCACCAGCCTCCCTCAGGAAGGGGGCGGGCAGATGCTGCTGCCCTTCGACGCTCTTCCTTCCCTTGGAAAGACAGTATCGACTGGCGGTTCGCTTCTGCAATTCACCCTCAGAATCTTGCACACACTGATCGCACGAAAACCAGTATGAATTGTGACGGTGTTTAAGTGGCGTCACTATAGCACCCAATTAAAGGCTGTTGGACTCAGATTCTCTTTCTCTCTCTCTCACTCTCTCTGAACGTTTGGCTATCCAATTGGAAAGGATTGATATCTCATAGGTATTCCTGCTAACAGTGATAACTTCTCAGACTTTCTGTCAATATGAATGAATACTCAAATTAATACTGAGTGTAAAAGAGACCAATCTGCGCTAGTCTTGGTCTCGGAAGGGGCGGGGCTATGTATATATACATATATATATATATATATATATATATATATATATAAACATTTTGGTTTTTAATTGGCCCGCCCCTTTCGAGCTCCCTATGCCCCGCCCCTTCCGAGACCAAGACTAGCGCAGATTGGTCTCTTTTACACTCAGTCAGTCGCTTCTGTAGGACACAGTCATCGCATCTGATTTCATTAAGAAATTACTAAGAATTTTTTTCACTGATTGTTTTATAAATGCCATAAATAACAAAGGAAGGAAGAGGGAGAAAAGCCGATGGAACATGCTGAAGGCTTCTTATAAGCAGTGATTCCGTAGAAACTTTTGGTTCCAAAGAAATATACCGTCTTTGTACTACTAAAAACAATTCAGCGTACTAAGTGTGAGGTTATTTTTTTTTTTTTTTTTTTTTTTGTGGGGGGGTGGACACTCTACGGGGCGATTCATCCTTGTTTCATTCATTTAGATGTGAATTAGGATACAACATAGGTCTATCTTCTAAGACATCAGATGATATGAAATGGTTACACAGTTGTTCGTTCTTGCAGTCTCAATATCACATTGTCTTGTTCTTGCTTTATGCTACAGATTTCAAAGTGTTGAGAATTAATAAACTCAGTCAAGTCCTCTTTGAACGAAGCTTTAATCATGTATGAAATCCTAGAAAGAGGTATCCTAACATATACATCCACACTTTGCTTGTCACATGCTGACTTTCCTAGCGATCATGATCTTGTCCAGGGATTACAACATGCGATGGAATCCACACAAACGTATATTATGGCCTCGTTCTTTTGCACGATACACGTTTATCCTGAAGTTATCACTGTTAGTAGGAATACTTATGGCATAGTAATCTATTCCAATTGGATAGCCAAGTGTTCGGAGAGAGAGAGAGAGAGAAAGAGTCCAACAGTCTTTAATTGGGCGCTATTGTGAAGCCACTCAAACAACGTCACAATTCATACCGGTTTTCGTGCGATCAGTGTGTGCAAGATTCTGAGGGTGAATTGCAAAAGCGAACCGCCAGTCGATAGTGTCCTTCCAAGAGGAGAAAGAGCGTCGAAGGGCAGCAGCATCTGCCCGCCCCCTTCCTGAGGGAGGCTCGTGATTGGTGGGTCACTTGGGCAACACGCGGGCACGGCTTCTGTTGCACAAATTGATCACGTCAAAGACGATGTAAAAACAACCCAAGTTTCTATGACGTCACAGAAGTACCCGTGAACTGCCTCATTTCTCGACTCGAGCGCCTCTCTCCTTTTATATGCTTAGGTATTTTTTTCTGGTCTGTGCATGCGTCTGTGTTTGTGTATGTATGTGTGCTTGTTTGTGCGTATTTGTGTATGTATGTGTGTTTGTTTGTGTGCGTGTGTGTTTGTGTATGTGTGTGTGTGCGGTATGTATGTATACGTGTGTGTCAGAAGACGTAAAAGTTATGAAAATCATTAAAGAATGAAAAGTAATTATGAATGAAAAAAAAATAATATATCTAAAAAAAAGACTGATAGAGAGAGCAGCGATAGAGAGCAAAGCAGAGCGCCCAGAGAAAGATATAAAGATTGGGGAGGGAAACTGAGATGTGAGTAAGAGCGAACGAGAGGGGGTGGGGGAGACGAGAAAGATGGGGAGGAAAGCAGGAAAGAGAAGGGACACACAGCAATCCTTTTCCTCGCAAACCTCCTCCCAGGAGGGGGAGGAGCCTCGAAGGGCAGCAGCATCTGCCCGCCCCTTCCTGAGGGAGGCCCATGATTGGTGGGTCACTTGTGCAATGCGCGGGCACGGCTTCTGTTGCACAAATTGATCACACGAAAGACGGCATAAAAACAACCCAAGTTTGTATGACGTCACAAAAGAACTCGTGGACTGGCTGCCTCTTCTCCCGGCCCCAAGCGTGCCTGTCTCTCCCTTGCTTTGTGTTTGTGTGTCAGTTCTCTTTCTCTGTCTCTCATCTCTCTATCTCTTTTCTCCCTCGTTCTCTCTCTCTCTGATATCTCCCTTCTCTCTCTCATTTGCTTTTTTCTCCCTTCTCTCTCTCTCTGTCTCTGTTTCTATATATATTCCCTCTCTCCCCCTTCTATCTCTTTCTCTCTCTCTCTCACTTCCTCCTTCCGTATCTCTCTCCATACCTCTCTCTCTCTCTCTCTCTCTCTCTCTCTCTCTCTCTCACACACCCTGCTCCCGTCACTCTCTCTGCTTATCTATCTCTCTCCGCCTCTCTCCCTCCCCTCCTTCTCTCTCCCTTCCTCCCTTCCTCTCTTTCTTTCTTTCTCTCTCTCTCTCTCTCTCTCTCTCTCTCCTTCAATCTGTTTCTAAGCCTATAAAGTCTCGATTTAACATAGAAATTACACCTATTATATTATCATGGATAGTATGTATATATCTATATGTCTTTGTAAGAGATGAACATATTATCAGCTATTGGCAAATATTAGAGAGTCTTTTGTATGACAAGTATCATTCCGTAAAAAGAGAGAGAAAAAGAGACAGAAAGACAGAGAGAGAGTGAGAAAGACAGAGAGAAAGAAAGATATATAGATAGATAGAAAGAGAGAGAAAGTGAGAGAGTGAAAGGGAAAGCGGAGGGGGGGGCATGAAAATAAACATTGAACATTAAAGACTTGGGTCCAGAGAGAAGAGGTATAAGCTTTGTAGCTGTATCTCTCTCTCTCTCTCTCTCTCTCTCTTTCTCCCCCACCCACTATCTCTCTTTATTTTCCCTTTTATACCGGTCTCTTTCTCTCTCTCTCTCTCTCTCTTTTTTTTTTTTAAATAAGATTGTATCGATTTTTTGTATGAATATTTTGGGAAACTGTATAACTGTATAAAAGAAATACAAATGGCTACATCAAGACTATAAGGTACATGCGACCTTTCTCGCAGGAGATCTCGGTCAACACTGAAGCCACTTATATGCCTAAGGTTGAGCTGCGACGAAGCTCCTCCCCTTTTCCTTCTCCCTTGGTCATGATTGGTTGGGTCTCGCTGCAAGAAGATGACGTAGAGGATCCTGCAAATGTTGATCAGTCTGAGACTATTGAAAATCGTGGTCACTTTTGTCTGACGTCATAACGACGCCAAGGAAAAGCATTGCTGTGTGTCCCTTCTCTTTCCTGCTTTCTTCCCCATCTTTCTCGTCTCTCCAAACACACATACATACACAAACACGCACAAACAATCACATATACATATACAAACACACACGCATGCACAGACCAGAAAAAATACATAAGCATATAAAAGGAGAGAGGCGCTCGAGTTAAGAGATGAGGCAGTTCACGGGTACTTCTGTGACGTCATAGAAACTTGGGTTGTTTTTACACCGTCTTTCACGTGATCAATTTGTGCAACAGAAGCCGTGCCCGCGTGTTGCCCAAGTGACCCACCAATCACGAGCCTCCCTCAGGAAGGGGCGGGTAGATGCTGCTGCCCTTCGACGCTCTTCCTTTCCTTGGAAAGACAGTATTGACTGGCGGTTCGCTTCTGCAATTCACCCTCAGAATCCTGCACGAAAACCAGTATGAATAGTGACGGTGTTTGAGTGGCTTCACTATAGCGCCCAATTAAAGGCTGTTGGACTCAGATTCT